CAACGTGACAACGTGGCTGGATCTCATGGACCCCAGCGGCAGGACTCGATGACAACCTTTTCGCGGAAGGACTAGAAAATGAGGCCGCCGTGGATCAGCTTGCTCCAGTACGTGACCAATATGATGATGATCACGCACTTACAGAGAGGATCCGGCACTGCTAGCTAACACAATTGCATTGAATACAGCACACTGATTATTTAGTGGCCTGCCTCTACACCTTTTCAACTTCAAAATGGCGACAGGTAAAATCAAAGTGACAAAACGTAAGTTCAAAATGACATGACACTGACACTTAATATTTATGGGAGTATTTACGTTTGGAGTTCATTAGATGAAAGAGGCAAAAAGTGGCGGCAACTACTCCCGCCAATTTTGGTGGATGCTGGCTGGCTGTACGGCGTCGATGGAATCAGTGGACACTGTTGCTGCAGTTTGTGGCCGCACTGCCTTTCATTCATTACGCGTCCCACCGCACCTCACCATCAAGGCGCACCGTGAAAGCTACCTAAAGCTGGCTGCAGACCTCCTCGTACTCGAAGCTATCACCCCAGAACTTTGCTACAAGTGCTCGTTGCACACCATGAAGTTCCATGCGCGTGCGATCCAGATGAAAGATATGCCTGTAGGAGAATAAAGACAATATCAAGTTTGGCTTTGCTGGCTCCTATGTTCGATGTCATTTTGAACTTACGTTTTGTCACTTTGATTTTACCTGTCGCCATTTTGAAGTTGAAAAGGTGTAGACTGACGATCGCATCCAATATGTACTCAAACTCCATGTCGTCGAGATCGAACAGACTATCAACCTCGTGACCCTCGGTGGCATTGGCGTCACTATCGCAGGTGCAGTCGCAACAGCTTGTAGGTGTCTTGTACAATGGCGTCTTGTACAAGGGTCCACGCGTGGGGTTGGTGTCACCGTTGTTAGTGAAGATAAACGACAGTTTTTCAACGGTAGCGACACGAAGACGATTGCGAAGCTTGGTGTGCGTGAAACCTTGGGTACTCCACAAACGCTCACTTGCCGCTGACGATGTCGGGATACTCAATACCCGTTCAGCAAAATCATGAAGGTTGCAAAAGTCCTCATCCAATAAACCACAAATGAAGAGGTGGATCTGCGCTAGCTTCCTCTCTTTGCTCGGCAGACCACGACTTTTTCAAAGCCACGAAGTTCAGCAGTAGTGAGCAGAAGTCGGCTGAGCTCTGCCCCGGTGGAAGGCCAAAGCGCTCCGCGAGCGCCACGGCATCTGCGACCGTGTCGCGTAAGCTGTTACCTTTGAATGCCGTTGTTTGCTTCGAGGGGTCCATCAAGTGCGCAATTGCCGTAACGTTGGAAGGAGGAGAAATGAATTTCCAACGCTCGTCGACCAACTTCACTATACGTTCTCGAACAGAGAAACTCGTCAGACCGGATGCGTTCGTGTTGAACTCTTGAGCATTTTTAAGACGATCAAACTCGTGAAGGATCATAGAGTTGGAGCACGAATCCGTCTCAAATGCAGCAAGCACACGTGTGATGGGCTTGGTCAGCCGGAGTATGAGCTTTGCGTTCGTCCAAAATTGGTTGTCTTCCAGAATTTCTCGGACAACGTTCAACTTGTTCGTAGTATCTTTGTCGGTGTAGTGCTTCATTAACTCCGGGTCATTGAACGCTGCCGTAAGAGGCACCTTGTTGCGAACGACGCTCTTGATACACTTTTCCTGAGCATACCACCTCGTCGAAACTGGAGTAGACAACTCACCAGCCTTGACACACTTTTTAACTTGGCCACGCTCCGCTCGAATTCGACCCAGCAGTAGATGCCTCGCTCTCACAAACTTCACTATTTTCACAGCCTTCTTGAGAGTACTAGCGAAGAAGTCGATTTTGAAAATATCTTTTAGGAGCAAATTGACAGCGTGTGCAGCGCATCCGCTAAACACCACACCTGGGTGCTTCAGTTCAACCAGCTTCCCAGCTTTCTTCATGTTGGCGGCGTTGTCCGACACAACTGCAGTCACCTTCCCAACCCCAGCGACAACTTCAACTTCAGTAATAACTCGGGATATCTCCGAAGCCAAGTACTCGCCAGTATGAGCCTCCGTACCGGTCGCTCCTGACGACCACATCATAGGCCGCATCGTCGGGGACGAAAGTACGTAGTTTATAATACTTTCGCGGTTTACATTCGACCACCCATCTGTGACCAGCGTCAATCGTTTTTGGCGTTCGAGAAGTGCAGCCAATCGAGTTATCTCAGTCGTGTAGACTTGATCCAGAAGGGTAGTCGCAAGACTCTGGCGTGTTGGCAGCTTCATACTGGGGCGAAATCGAGTGAGAGCACGACGCATATCAGCGTTTTCAATGACGCGAAAAGGTATCCCAGACGTGTAGAAAGCTCGAGCGATATCCAGATGCATCTCCTTCTCTTCGGTCTTGTTTACGTCGTACTTGGTGGGCGTTTGACGTGCCGAGCCACTGTAGCTTGTGCGTCGAGCCTTCGTTGGAGAAACGAAGTCGGCTGTACTTCTTAAGTGCGCTTTGCGCTTCTTTTCAGCAACCACTTCGCCATATTTAGTCTTGGTTTGGGCTGATGCCTCGCCGCAGTACTTGATGTGTGGGTACAGGTGTCGCCCAGGCTGAGCATTCATGATCACCTCATTACAGTGCTTGCAATATACGTCAGGATGCTGCTTCGTCTCGCTCTTGGATCGACTGACAGCAAATTCAGCCCAAATGGGCTCCTCCTTGCGGCCCATTGAGGTGTCTTCAATCGTAGGGGTTTGCGAGGGTGGTTGGGAGAGCGCTTGTGCGGCTGGATAACGTTTTAGTTGTGGGCTACTGGCACCGCGCTATAGCTTTGACATGTAGTGGTTAGTACTACTAACTTAGTAGACATCAAACCTCAGGAGACTCCGGTGGACCGCTCCATTAAGCGGAGCACTTAAAACTGCTTGCTTCAAGGAGGTCTTGCGATCAGGTTGAAGCGATCAGCATCAGCGGTTGCTGCGGAAATACCGCCTGAGCAAGAAAATGTGAAATTACAAAAACAGCAACCACGCATCAAGTATTTAACAGTATTTAACCAAAGTAGGGAATTTAACGTACTTAGGCCGTGTTCGATTTAAGCTAAAACCAGCTGTAATTGGTATTAAAGAGCTGGAATGTCTCAACCAGCTTTATTCCACTAAGAAACACAAAAAATGACATCCAACAGGATAGCTCCAAACGACTGGTTTCAAAATTTAGCTCTGGGTTGAATTTTGAATCGTCCTGCTTTGCGCCTTCAAATCCAGCCTTTTTCTGATGGAACACGATCACTTATTTTATCTTTATTTTACTTAATGTTCTACAGCTCTAGCTTATTTTCGAACAAGCTGGATTTGCCCCTGCAAACCGAACACGGCCTTAAAGTTAATAACGCTAGAAAAATCGTAACAACTCTAGTCCTGAAGAAGACCCGTGTGCTTCCAGGGATGGGTGTGAGTATGCATAGAGGCCATATAGGCTGGGCGCACGCTCAAGTTGTAAGCTGTCCACAGTACACTTGTGGCACGAAGGCTCAGTAGCCATAAAGGCTTTACGCCTTTATTAAAGGCGTTAGGTAATGGTACAGTGATTCCTTCGGGTTTTGGAAAAATGTATTCCTGACTTTAAAACCTTTCCTGATCCTCATAAAATGTCTGCGGAGTCCTCCACTTCTTGTCAAGAAGTGGCAAAGATTTTTGCCAATACTGTACACGTATATTGCAAGTTTAGAGTACCGCTACTGTAGAGGAAGCACAATTCAGTCTATATTTCGGTACACGTAGTGTGTTTAATGAAAGCGAGTGAACTGAAGAGGTGCTCCTGCTCACAAAACGGGAAGCAACGAAAGCTCCTCGAAAATCAGCATGTTTGAGTCATGCCGCTCGAATCACGTTTACGTCGATAAAAATAGATGAAATTTCAACAATTGCTGTAAAATATGAAAATATAATATTATTTAATTATGATTTAACTTATAATATATTACATCAATTTAATAAAATAATGTTCCAATACATATTGAAAAAAAAAGAGAATTCAATAAAAGGACGTTTATTAGGAGGTAATTGGAATAATAAAAAAATCTTTATTTCGATTTTAGGATTTGTTTTTTCTATGAAACCTGTTAATTTAAATAATGCTTTAAATTATAAAAAAAAAAAA